AACTGGGTGAGGTGGGACAAATTAGCTTTTCTCATTATTCAGAGTTGCAGACTCTGGACCTAGGATATAAATTGAAGCAGAATCAGATGCAATTATTTTTCTTCAAATCCCACTGCTAATCTTAGTAGGCAGAGGAGGGAAAAATTCCTCTGTTAGGACAGGAATCACAGGGAGGCAGGAGTTCTGCAGAGCAGTTATGGGGCTGCCACAGCCTTTAAGCAAGAATTGAAGGACAAGGAAGAGAAAAAAACTAAATTACCATAAGAACTGAAAGGGAAGATTCAACTGAACAACTCATCCATCCCCGTGAGGACATAATACAGGTCCCTGGCAAAGCCTTCTGAGAAATCAAACCAAATGTGTGTGTAATTTTTTAAAACAAACTTGTTCATGGTTCTCAAAGTGCCGGGTTTACCAGAAACCAAGAAACCAAATACTATTTCAACATTTACTTTTTAAAAACGTTTTCTAACTTCAAAGGATCCTCCTTAAAACACACACACACACACACACGCACACGCACACGCACGCACACGCACGCACGCACACACAGAGAGACACCCCAAACTGTGTATCATGCAAAAGCCAGCTTATTGCCCGTACAAGACATCTGGTTCACTAGCTAAAGGCGGAGCAAGCATCATTCGACTAATGATTTCCAAAGTGTCAGCTGGGACAGACTGTATTTAAACTGGTCGGGTGCTGCCTCCAAAGGGAATGTCTGCCACACAAAGCCCGTGATTCACGGAGTCCCAGGGATGGGAACCTGGCCTGCTGACAGCACAGCCTGCGAGGTGTTCTCAGTCGGGGTGGAGAACAGACCCCTTGCTGTAGATCTCACAAGGCCAGCACTGTGGGCGCGGGTACATTGTATAATGTCTGCATTATATCACGGGTTACGTTACATGGCTCAGATGGGTCTTGCAGGAAAAATGGCTGCATAAATCATCTTCCTGGCGGGGTCTCTTCCTAAGCGTGGCTGACTAAATGAGAAGGGTGTTGAGGTTGGTTTCGCCTCTCCAGAGTTGTTCATCGTATCTGGGTCACTCTGTAGACCACAGAGACTGAGTCTCAACCCCAAACTCTTCTTTCCACGTGGCGACAGGTCCCTTCTGCTTTGTGGACCCTGGTGTCCCCAGACATAAGACAAGAGGGTTGGATCCGTTATAGTTCAGTTACGAATGACCACATCTTTCTCTTTGTCGGATTATTGTTTGATTGACAAACTAATGTTTTCAGCCATTCTCACCTTTGAGGATCTTTCTTTTTCCAATAAAAGTGACTCGTTGGTGAGCTGGAGTCTGTAGTTACTTCTGCCAGGGTACATAGGTTTTCCATAGGTGGCAGAGCCTGGTGAGCAGAGGGAGTGAAAGATAACTGGATTCCAATTCCTTGTCTGAACTATGAGTGTGAGGGAGAGCAGGAGAAATTGTGGCAAATGGTCAGAGTAGTGCAGAGAACCATGTAGGTACCCAGGACGACTTTCCCAAGGTCGGGAAGGAGACATGCAGTCATTTGCACCGCGGACATTACCTTCTGTCTTAGTAAGGTTCCTAGCGATTTACTTTCTAGGATAAGGTTTCAAGTTTTTTCTACACTTTTTTTGGTGAAAAGAATTTTCAAAATAGAATCGTATCATACGTCAACCTTTTTTCTTTACCATGAAGTCCAAAGACTAAATGGTGTATTATTTTTAGACTTTATACTAAGTAGGGAGGTATCAAAACACTTAAGAAAATGTCCCAGTCATGATTTGGAATTTCACATCTCAAGTAATTTGGCGACCCTTTTCTTAGCAAATTTTTCTGGGAGTGAGGATGATTGCATCTTAGACTGAAGTGCACGTTGAGATTATTTCATGCTTTTCACTAGGTTAGGGGTGGTGAATTGGTGCTGTTATCCTATCCTCCTTGCAGATATTGCCGCGTAGTCATAGCGCTTTTTGCTAAGTCTAGACAGCCTCCTACTGTTTACCAGACAGTGGTCCAGACAGCCAGAATCCGTCTATTAGAGCTGGTATATCAGACAAATCTGATTGTTTCCCTGGACTTGATTTTATTTATTGTATTATTGATTATGTAGTATTTAGTGCCTAATCATATTAGATACTCCCTTTCTCTCTTAATTTCCTTAATCGAAGCAACTCAAAAAGGTGTTGGTTTTTTTCATTACATGTGTTTTCTAAATATTTTTATTTAAATAAAAGTCCCATTCAAACAGATGCCTAGTTTTAGGAAGTCCTTTATACAGATCATTTGCCCATTGGTTACACTACATTCTTTTCATGCCTGTGGTGAGTATTGGCCTGTGGTATTAGGTTACACCACCAGCACCTAGAACCGGAGAGTTCATCCAAAACAGAAGCGAAGCCTAAGAAAGCATCTTTTATATCCAGTCTGTAATCACAGCCAGCTCTCAGCCAGTGTTGAAGATTGCAGGCCTTGTGGCAGGGAGCCCGTCTAGTTCTGTGTCACACAGCATGAATAAGCGGGCCATTTCTTCTGTCTTCTCTAGAGGCAGAAGTTTTGTTTTAAATGTTTTTTTTTCCTCCCTCATTAATAATGTACATGTTTACTGTGACTTCTGTCTTAGGGAGAAGAAAAATTCACTTGCAGATCTACTACTGAGAGATAATAGTGGTGGAAGTTTAAGTCAATAATATCTTCTGTATGTAAACTTGTATGCATTTGAAATGTCTGCATTTCATTCTCTGATTTCATTCTCATAAGAGCAGCTGGAGCAGACTGCTTTCTATATTTGTAATATAGGTAGAGACTTAAAGAGGTTACAGTGATTTTATGGTGGCCTTGCAGAAAGTTAATGGCAGAGTTAGAATTAGAACACCCCCTATTTAATTAATTAATTTTCAAGTACATGATACAGTGTTGTTAACTGTAATACCATGCTGTACATTAGATCCTCAGAACTTATAACTGGAAGTTTGTGCCCTATGACCAACATCTCCCTACCCACCAGTCCCTGGTAATTCTCTCTGTTTCTCTGAGTTTGGCTTTTTAGATTCCACATATAAATGAGATCATAACAGTACTTGTCTTTCTCTAACTTATCTCACTTTGCATAATGCCCTCAGGTTCCAGTCTTGTTATTGCAAATGGCAGGATTTCCTTTATTTCTCATGGTTAAATAATATTTCATTGTCGTGTGCGCGCGCGCACGTGTGTGTGTGTGTGTGTGTGTGTGTGTGTGTGTATGTGTGTGTGTTTGTAACATCTGATTTATCCATTCACCCATAGATGGACACTTAGGTTTTTCCATATTTTATCTCTTTGAGATCCTGATTTCATTTCCTTATATAAATACCCAGAAGTGGAATTGCTGGGTCATATGGTAGTTCTAGTTTTAATTTATTGAGGAACCTCCATACTGTTTTCCATTGAGGCTGTAACAATTTACATTCCTACCAACAGCCGTAGGAATGGCCATTCTCACAGGTGTGAGGTGATATCTCATTGTATTTTTGATTTGCATTTCCCTGATGATTAGTGATGTTTAGCACCTTTTTATCTGTCCTCCTTGGAAAAAATATCTATTTAGTTCCTCTGTCCATTTTCTAATTGGGTTATTTATTTAGTTATTTAGTTATTTTGCTGTCAAGTTGTATGAGTTCTTTACAGATTTTGGATATTAAACTCTTAACAGATACGTGACTTGCAACTATTTTTCCCCATTAAGCAGGTTGCCTTCTCATTTTGTGGATGGTTTCTTTTACTGTGCAGCAGCTGCTTAGTTTGATGTATTTTTTATTTTTTGCTTTTGTTTGTGCTTTCGGTGTCATATCCAAAAAATTGTTATCAAGACCAGTGTCATGGACCTTTTTTTCTTATATTTTCTTCGAGGAGTTTTATGATTTTGAGCTGAAATTTCTTTATCACGATTGTCATGGCGATTACATGACTGTATTTGTCAAGACTCATTGAATTATACACTTATAATCGGTTAATTTTATTTCTGGTATGTTATGCCCCAACAAAGGAAGAACGAGAAACAAACTGAATGTCTACCGTCTGTCAAGTGCTGTGTTAGGAATATGATTACATAGATGCGATGTGGGTCCTCTCTCCAGGCAGCTCACAGCCTGTAGAGTTGGTGTAGAAACACACAGGTCAGAGAGAAGAGCCCGATGGCGGAGTACATCTGCTGAGGCACAACGGAAGGCATTCTTGACTAGGGAAAGTCCCGCCAAGGAGGCGCTTGACCTTTAGTGTGGTGGGTGGACAGGAGCCAGGTGAGTGTTGAGGGAAAGGGCATTCCAGGCAAAGGCCTGTGAGTGTGAAACTGCACGGTGACGTTTTATAAACCACAAGGAGCCCGAATTGCTGGAGCTGTGAGATTTATGTCAGTGGCAAGAGTAGAAGCTGGGCAGGTTGGCAGAGAGGTAAAAGATGAAATGTTTCTCAAATTTGCTTTTCAAATTCATATTGCAAGAAAAATTATGTACTTGAGAGAGAAACCCTCCCTCTTGGATGAGAGATGAGATGATCAATGCGCCCATTCATGTCTCTCTGTTTCATTGCTTTTGGCTTAAAAACAAAACAACAAAACCCTCGCTTGTACTATAACTATTTTTAAATAGTAGTTCTCTGTGAACAGACCTCAGCTGAATTTGTGTAGCTAAGGCTGTACTTGAGCTTCACATGTTACAAGGAGGAAGCATGTTTCAATGTTTGAGAAAGCCTTTCTTACTAGCCATCTGGGAGAACTACTGAGATTTGCCCCATGTGGCTTGTGCCTTCAAGCAAATGCCAGTTTCTTTGTACCAATTGGGAGAAGTACAAAATCTCCCTCGCATTGCATTTTGAAAAGGAGAAAACCTTTTGAAACTGCTTATTGGTTCAACTCCATCTATATGAAATTCTTAAACATCATCTATCCTTGGAGGGATGCAAGGAAGTGTGTGGTGGGAGCAAGTACAGGATTTAGATTAACAAATGGGACAGCTAATTTTGTTCTAAAACTGAATGCTTTGCCATATATTACAGGCAATGGATTTTGAAGGTTGGGCTGACACGCTCTTTCTTCTGCAGTTCACCCTCTCTTGTGTGATGGGGTAAGCCTTTGCTGTCTTGTTATCAAGTAGTTTTCCTAGAGAAATGTGTTGGAGGGTCCCTTTGCCTCATTCTTCAGTATCCTGTTCTGTCCCTTGAGTATATATCCGCCTCCGATAATTAAGCTTCCGCATTCAGGTGGTTTCACAGCCCTTGGGAATGTGCCTTCAGGGCAGCTAAACTGATCCCAAAGTCATGCTTAGGAGACTGGAGAACAACTAATATTTACCCAATTACATAGTGGGTAATAAGCACCATTATTTCTCAACATTATTTTTCGCCATATAGTTCCTTTATATTTTTTCTAAATTGACCATTTGGGAGATGTTGTTGTCCCTTTAACCATGAGAAAGCAGGCTCAGAACAAAGGTAGGTTGCCTGAGTTTGCACAATCAGTGATTGTTGTAAAGCAAGCATGTCAAACTCAAAGGCCAAATAAGCAAGGTTTAAGTTTATGTGGGCTGCAAAAAAAACCAAAAGCTTCAGTTTTCATAGAAGCGTAGGTTTATTTCGATAGAGACATGCTGAATACAAAGGGCTGAAATAAATGAGTAATTGTTAACATAAAATAATAGAACATTTAAATAAAAATTAATATTTTTTCTTGAACATTAACTTACCAGACACTGAATTACTGCACAAATTAATAAGCGTAATACAAATAAACCTATTTTTCTTGTTCTCCGAAAGCAAAATATTTCTTGTTGTGCACACCAAACAAGTCAGTCCAAGACTAATGATGTGGCAATCGGCTGCTAAAATAGTCACTGCTAGTATTAGTGGAGAGAAATGGTGCGCTTATGTGTACGGCGTTAAGGGAAATGAACGCAATACGATTATAGTAATCAGTCATTAGCGAACATTGTAGTTCATTATTAATAATTATGTATAACAGCATATTGTAAAAATTAAGTTATGAAATTTTTATTAAAACGTTTTTTACTTACCATTATATTGGCTAGGCCACAAAAATAATCGTTGTGGGCCGCATGTGGCCTGCGGGCTGCGAATTTGACATGCTTGTTGTAAAGTAAGCACCTGGATCGTACTCATAAGATACCTCTTCCTTCTTTATTCCAGATTTATCTTGATGTACGCCACAGTACTCTGCACTCAGTATAATTCTGCTCTTACAACTACAATAGTTGGCTGTATTAAGGTGAGTTGAAAAAATACTGTTATCTTTTGGGGACCTGCTTTATTTGAAAATTATTCCTCTCAGATAAGTTGAATATGGCCTTAAGCCATATGTTTTCCTTATTTCTTCACATTTTTTTTTTATAGTCTGACAAATTGTGATGATGGTCTCTGAAACAGTTTTTAAGAACTCAGGGAGGACATCATCTCTACTTTCAGGCAGTTTAGCTCCGAGGAGCGTGAGAAAAGGAGAGCCTTTTATCTTAGAGAAGAGGGAGAAGAATTGGGCCTGTTTCTGACGGGCTGCCGAGCTCAGTAGGGAGAGGCCTGTCCTTAACCCCTGATGAGAGCTGCTCTGTTCTCTGCCCCGCCTCCGAGTGCTGGCTGTTTTGTGGGGAAAGGGTGCCTGCCAGAACTAATCGAGGGAGGTTTCCTGTGTGTCAGCCAAACCTAATGGCCCACTTTTAAAAGCTGCGTCTGACTTTTCCAGTGATGTCATTTCCTCCTGACCATTTTATTTGAGTCAGGCTCATTTGTCTTCAGCCAGGAGAGCCAGATTGACTTAAATATTGAGCTGACGTTAGTTGCCTTTGGGACTTCCCTTATGATGCCCCTTTTGTCAAAAAGTGAGGGAAGTGGTTGCAGAGAAAAGTTTTTACTGCTCTGTGTTACCCTTTGCACCCCCCAGTGGAGTGGTGTCCGCATGACCTTATTTTAGAAATTAGATTTGGGTGAAAACTTCATGGAATTGGAGTGTTCGGTGTGAATAGAATTGTAGATTGAACTATAATAATCAGTTCTTTGAATTCCATTGAAATCTAGACAGTTAATCTACTTTCAAAGGTCTAACTGGCTGACATGGCTTTAGCGCACGCACCCGGGCCCCCCCCCCCCCCCCGCCCCCGCCCCAAATGAGCTCTCAGCTCTGTTTCTGTTTTGTAAACTAAATGCTTTAAAAGCAAAGTGGATGGCTTGCATCTTCAGAATAAGAACAGCAAGAGCAGGGCAGCTGGTAAACATGTTTTTGGCCAAGAAGAAGGATGGTACAGGAGAGCCTATATTTAATTTTAATAACTAAACTTATTTGCTTAGAATTTCTTAGTGCACTTTATCATTATCAGCATGGGGCAGAGATATAGTCATGCTCTCATGAACATGAAGTCCAATACTTTACTTTTGCTATTTCCTTCTCTGCATAGAACCCTATGAACTTAGTCCAAAGGGATCAGTTTTACTTCCAAACTCCAGAGGGAGGGAGAGAATTGGATTGTCTGTGTACTAGTCGTGTACAATTGCTGTTGCTTCTGTCTGCCACGTGGTATCGCTGTTGAAGGATGTCTTGAACCTTCTGGCAGATGAGAGTCCCCTGAAGCACTTGCTATTTCACTCTCATGAGTGACAGTGGAGCTTCTTTCATTGGCCTCTCAGTTCATACCCTTTAGCTCAGTCATTGTTCCCCAAGGGGCTTTAAGCTGTCCTCTGTGCTTGAGGATCCCAACCCCATAAACCCTTGGGTCAGCATTCCTTGTTTCTTTTAAGTGTGGTGGGAAAATTACTTAGGATAGCTAGTTAAACATGGAAGTTCCAAGGCCCACCTCGGCTATACTGAGTCAGAATCTCTAGAGTAGAGCCTGGAAATTGTCATCTTTAACAGTTTCCAGATGATTCTCAGGTATTACTAAAACTTGAGAATTAGTTTTGAACTACTAGACTCGTCTGTGCTTCCTGGTTAGTTCTGCTTTGTGGGCACTGGGGTCTTTTCCTGATAGCAAACCTTTGTTAGGCTGCCCTAGTGTGTACTTAAAGTTTTTCTACCTTCTGCTGATTGGTTTTGCGCAATAAGGATTGGGTTCTCTGTCTTTTCCCTTTCTAAAGTTCCTTGAGCAATTATACAAATTAACCTACCTTCTCCCTGGATTTCTGGATCTCTGTATTCGAAGAGAGTTCCTGTTACACATTTTCCCCAGTTGCCTACTGTTACGTGGCATTTCACGCCCCCCTGAAATAATTAAAAAGATCTGCTTTAAGGTAACTTACTCTCTCTATCCTTAGACTTAGAAGAGGTAGACATAATTTTGAATGCTCAAAGGGCACTCCATTATCAAAATAATTTTGAAGTTTTTTTTAAAGTATAGTACTTTGTGCTTCAGAGGCCTAATCTAGGAGAACCCAGCTACTAAAAATGTTTGTGACATTTACCGTTTATGGCAGTTGTAAAGGTGGAGAAGGAGGTAAGTGACTTAGGAGTGTGAAAGAATGGAGGTTAGGGAAGAACTGAATAAATTTGGAAAATTTTATTTCACCTTGTGGTCCGAGTTTAATTAAAGGGGACTACAGATAAGCAGAAGATGTTTATGCCTGGGAATTTGAGTGAGTCAGGAGACGTGATTTTAGCTATTGCTACTTTGAGATGTGTTTTGAAAATAGTAAGAAGGCTCCTCTAAAAACTTTCTTCATGTTGGTAAACTCCCACCATCCCTTTTATCCTTTTCAAAAAAGAGGGAAAGATTCTTGATGTCACCAGGCTTTTCTTCTTCACTGTCCCCTCACAAGTCAACAGTTATCTCAGCGAGAGGAAGAGCGTTCTTTTCTGATTGCTGAGTATGCATTAGTGTTTTCTACCCTAGAAACTGCAGTGCTTCTCTATTTAGATTTGTAATGCCAGCCCATACCACAGAGCAGAGAAAGGTTGATAACCTTGTTAGTATTTTTTAGTATTGGTGAAAGCATTTAGCGTCTGTAGAGAAAAAATTGGGCAGAGGCTAATGTCATTGTTTCCTTGTTAGTGTTCTTGCTCATACTACACTCATTTTAGGCTTGGTAGAATTTTGTTATTACCCATTTATTTGTTTTTTGTATTTTAAGAATAGGTATTTGGGTCATAGCATGGAGGAGTTTATATGAATATTTTAAAAGTTCAGTTAAACCTATGTAATAGTGCATTGCTTGTTTTTTTTTTTAGAATATATTAATAACTTATATTGGAATGGTCTTTGGTGGAGATTATATTTTCACATGGACAAACTTCATTGGCTTAAATATCAGGTAAGTAAAATATTTAAATATAACCATTTTGACAAATAGTGTCACAATAAGATTGGGCTATTTAATGTCAAATTTGTTCATTTATTAAACCTATATGGAGTGCTTCCAATGTATTATATATTTAACATCTTTAGGTAGTGCTTTTTAAGAAAGGGAGAGAAAGTGGTTCCATACTTTATGCATAATAGTTGGGGAATCTTTCTGGAAGTTGAATTCCTTTTACTTAGCTCTTTGAAGAACAGACCTTTACTTAGTATGCCAGATGGCAGTACACTATTCTCAAGAAAATGCGGGGCTAAAGAATACCAGCTCCATTAGAAATGCATTATATGTGTCAGACTTTGGCCATATCACTGCATTTCTTTAGACTTTATTTATCTTCATCAATGATGAGCGTGACTTGTATGAAAGATCTTTTTCAGCTCAAGAATTTTGAATCTCATGGTTTTTAATCTATTTATATGCTTAAAAATTCTTACATTTGTATTTGGGCCAGACCTCTGTCCTGAACTCATGCTCTGTATTTAACAGCCCACTTGACATCTCCAGCTGACATGTCCAATACTGACCTCCTCTTGGTTTTTCCAAAGTCTCTTCCACCCAAAGCCTCTGCATCTCAGCTGATGGAGACTCCATCCTTCTAGGCTTTCAGTTTTAAAACCTTGAAGTCATGTTTGACTCTTCCATCTTATACCCAGTATCTACTGTGTTAGCAAATTCTGTTGGCTCTACCTTCAGAATATATTCGGAAAAGGACTACTTCTCACTATCTGCATTGTTCATCATCTAAGCCACCAATATCCTGGTCTAAATTACTGCCTAGTTTCTACATTTGTCCCTGGTTTGACTCCTTTCTTGTCCACCCCATCCCTCAATCCCACCCTGCATTCCTTCACAGAATAGATAGTGTATCAAACATGTCACTCCTTATTTTATCCCCGCCCCAGGCTCTTCATGTTCCAAAGTGCTGACAAGGCCCTACAGGACCTACCTCCTCTTTACCCCTCCAGTGTCAGCTCCTGCTTCTCTTCTTCTCCGTCACTCCACTTCATCCACATTGGGGTCCTTCCTGTTCCTTTAGAACAGCGGTCGCCAACCTTTCTGACCTCATGGACCACCAATGGTCTGCGGACCACCGGTTGGTGACCACTGCTTTAGAACACTGGACATGCTTCCACTTTAGGGCCTTAGTACAGGCTATTTCCTCTGCCCGGAACATTGTACTGCCAGATACTTGCATGGCTAACTTCTTTACACCTATAAAGTTTTGCTCAGAGGTTACCTTCTCAAGGAAGTCTACCCTGACCACCTTATTTAAAACTGTAACCTGTGGGGGTATGGGAAGAGGGAGAAGAGGCTATAGGGGGGATAAATGGTGATGGAAGGAGACTTGACTCGGGGTGGTGAGCACACAATACAATATACAGTTGATGTGTTACAGAATTGTAAGCCTGAAACCTATATAATTTTATTAAAACAGTGCCTCCCCAATACATTCAATAAAAACAAAAAATATATAATTAATTAATTTTAAAAATTGCAGTCTACTCTTCCCCTTTTGATTCTTCCGAATCATCTTATTCTGCTCTTTTGATTACTTTTTTCAGAGCACTTAATCACTTTCTAATATACCTATCATTTTAGAGTTGTTAGAATGAAGTAATCTAATGAGTGTAGAGTACCTAACTCACTGCTTGACATCTGTGCTTAGTAAATATCTCTTTCATTAAAATTTGTGTGGAAGGGCCAGGATATAAGGAGCAAAATGGTGAACCAGTTCTGTCCTTGGACGTGGCCTGATTTTCACTCATTTCTAAAAGTCTGGATTAAAAGTCATTATGACACTATATAGACCTGAGTCAGAGATGCCTTAATTTTCTTTTTGTCCCCTTAAAATAATTAACTCGAGAGCCACAATGAAGTAGAAGCTTCTATTTGATGTTTAGATCTCTACAGTTCAACTCTCTTATAAAATCCTGTCTAATAAAAGAGAAACATGGTAATTAGCATACAACCACTACCCTTCCCATTGGCTAATCAGGGCAATATGCAAATTAACTGCCAGTCAAGAAGGCGGCCGGCAGCCAGGCAGCTTAAAGCGAACATGAGGTTTGCTTGCTTCAGTGACGGAGGACTCCAACGTTCCCCGCCTGCCGCTGCCGGCCTCTGAGCTGCAACTCTAAGCAACTATGTTACAAATATAGAAGCTAAACCAGCCGTGGCAAACTACGGCCCGCGGGCCGGATCTGGCCCGTTCGGTTGTTCTATCCGGCCCACGGAGCTGAAAGAGCGGAGGGTTCTCTTGCTCTCCCCTCCGCTCCTTCACCAGCAGCAGTGTTAACATGTATTAGTTCACACAAACACTCCATCCATGCTTTTGTTCCGGCCCTCCTGTCCAGTTTAAGAACCATTGTGGCCCTCGAGTCAAAAAGTTTGCCCACCCCTGAGCTAAACAAAACCCCAGAAACCTGCTTTAGTCGCCGGGCTTCAGCCAGCAGGATCACAACATTGTTTCAAATACAGAAGGTAAACAAAGGCCAGAAACCTGCTTTCAGCAGCGGAGGCCTAAGAGCTGGAGCCAAGCCTCAAAGCTAAAGCTGGCCCAGAATAAAAAAAAAAGAAAAAAAGGAGCGGTTGGGAGCTTCAGTCACCTGCTAGCCTGAAAACAGCCCTCAGCCCCTTACCCAGACTGGCCAGGCACCCCAATGGGGACCCCCACCCTGATCCAGGACACCCTTCAGGGCAAACCAGCCGGCCCCACCCATGCACCAGGCCTCTATCCTATATAGTAAAAGGGTAATATGCCTCCCAGCACCGGGATCAGTGGAGCTGAGAGGCCTCCCAGCACCGGGATCAGCGTGACAGGGGGCATCGCCCAAACCCCCTGATTGCCCTGCGGCTCTGTGTGTGACAGGGGGCGGGGCCAGAACCTCCCTATCCGCCATGCTCTGTTCGTGACGGGAAGGCGCCCCAACCCCCTGATCAGCCCTGCTCTGTGCCTGATAAGGGGAGCTCCCCAACCCCCTGATCGCCCTGCGGCTCTGTGTGTGACAGGGTGCGGCACCCCAACCCCCTGATTGGCCTTGTTCTGTGGGTGATAGAGGGTGGCGCCCCAACCCCACCCCACGGGCCCTGCTCTGTGTGTGATGGGGTAGAGCCATAACCTCCCCATTGGTCCTGCCCTGAGTGTGACAGTGGCGGCGCCCCAACCCCCTGATCGGCCCTGCTCTGTGGGTGATAGAGGGTGGCACCCCAACCCCCTGATCCGCCCTGCTCTGTGTGTGACAGGGGGCGGTGCCCCAACTCCCCTATCGACTCTACTCTGTGAGTGACGGGGGAGCTCCTCAACCCCCTGATCAGCCCTGCTCTGTGTGTGACAGGGGGGAACTCCCCAACCCCCTGATGGGCCCTGCTCTGTGCGTGACAGGGTACGGAGCCCCAACCCCCCTGATGGGCCCTGCTCTGTGAGTGACAGGGGGCAGCGCCCCAACCCCCGGATTGGCCCTGCTCTGTGCGTGACAGGGGGTGGCGCCGCAACGTCCCCATCGACCCTGCCTTGAGTGTGACAGGGGGCGGTGCCCCAACCCCCCAATCGGCCTTACCCTGAGCGTGACTGAGGGTGGCATCACAGCCTCCCGATCCGCCCTGCTCTGTGCATGACAGGGGGCGGCGCCCCAACTCCCCAATCGGCCCTGCTCTGAGCCTGACCAGGGGCTGCACCTCGGGATTGGGCCTTCCCTCTGCCACCCGGGAGCAGGCCTAAGCCAGCAGGTCGTTATCTCCCGAGGGGTCCCAGACTGTGAGAGGGCACAGGCCGGGCTGAGGGACCCCCCTCCCCCCCGAGTGCACAAATTTTTGTGCACCGGGCCTCTAGTAATCTTACAAGAAAGGTTAGATATCTTTTTTTCACATTGGAAGCCACTTAAAATAACTTTAAGTTCCCGAGTATATTGGAATGTTACAACTTATGTCAGCCTAACATGTACGAAATCTAACATCTGGAAAATTCTTCCAGTAGAATTTCTGTTTCAAGATGTTGGATTTGATACATGTTAGGCTGAAAGAAGTAGGGCTCTGTGGCGAGTCTGGCTCTCTCCAAATGCCTTTTTCCAGTGGCCAGTTATGAGGGTGCTGGTCCAAGCCTGAGACAGCTACAGAGAGGGTGGGAAGGAGTAGAGAAGGGTGGTGACAGCGGGTGCTGCTGCACTTCTCCCGGTGACTACACTCTGTCTGCGGCTTCTACTTGAGTCATGTAGCCTTCCCAGGTAACAACACCATCATCCTCATAACTGCCCAGGCTGGAATTCTTAGAATCTCTGGAACTCATCTTAGCTGTAGTCCCCCCTCCCCCTTTTTTTTTTGCTTCCATTAAAAAAATTATACATTTAATTACAGTAAAATTAAACCCTTTTAATGTACAGCTTATGAATTTTGACAACTGCACCACATTCAAGATATGAAACATTTGTATCACACCCCCCACACCTAAAAAAAATCTCCCTATGTCCCTTCGCATTGAACCTTTGCCCTAATCTGTTTTCTGTCCAGAATGCCATATAATGATACATAATATTATGTAGCTTTTGGTCTGACTTCTTTCATCTAACATGGTCCATCTTGCATTTGAGATTTTGTGTTGTTGCATATATTCGTAGTTTGTACCTTTTTATTGCTGAGTAGAATTCTATTCTTTCAGTTGGTGAATGAATAAACTGGATATGTCACAGTTTATCCATTCACCAATTGAAAGACAAATTTCCAGTTTTTAACTGTTTTGTATTAGCTGCTAAAACATTTGCTTAGAAGTTTGTGTGTGAACATCGTTTCCATTTTACTTGGGATAAATACCTAGGAATAGACTTCCTGGGTTGTGTAGTTAAGTGTATGTTTATAAGAAATTCCTAAACTATTCTTTGGAAGTGTTTGTAACATTTAGGTTATCCTAAAACTCCTAGGCAGATAGATTGGTTCACATCCTGGCCAGAATTGTATGACTAAGG